TGTTCATTTGATTGACCCTTTGCAAGAGGGCACTTGCTGCATTCATTGGCAATGGTAGGAACTTCTTCCTAAGTTCAGAATTCGACGCCAAAAGAGAATGCAACTGCATAATCAAACTAATTGCCAGAGCCTCTCTAGTTTCGACACTCAATTTTTCAAAATAAAAAATTTTCTAGTTTGCTCACTATCGGGTTGAACTGAAACGGGATATCCAATTTCTCTGCTTCTTCAGTCAATATGTAAGCCATTTGTTCCAAAACTTCCTTTTGTTGATGAATCCTCATTATTCTCAAATGCTGCGGACCTTCCGACGGCCGGAAGTAGCAAGCTTAGTTTTGGAGTGAGTAAGATGAGGAAGACGATGATTTTAAATTTTATTTCTTTTCTGTTTTTTATTTTATTTCTAGTTTTTAAAATTATTTTATGTGTGTAATAGCAAATTTACCATTTTACCCATTTCAGTTTGGTCAAAATCAATCAAAGTCCACTTGTCTTGGTCAACTAACAGTTTTATCCATTTGAATTTCAGGTGCATATTTTTGAAATGTTTGGAACTGTGGGTAACACAAGTTGAGAGTTAAGGTAAAGTTTGCTAAAAAACAAAGTTTTGGGACCGCTGCTGCAATTATCCCTTTATATTTATATTGTTTCCCCTTTTCTGTTGAATTCCTAATTGATTTGTAGACTTGATTTTCATTTTCTTAATTCATAACATTGTGATTGTTCATCTAGTTTATATAGCTGTGTAATTTTTGTAGACATACATGATGATTGTTTTTAAAATCTTATCATATAAATATTGCATTTAAAAAAGTTTTGGATTTTGGTTCTATACTAAAATGAAATTTTCATGTTAGTCTTATTTTATTTGGTTTCTTAACATTCCAGAAATCTATTATGGACCTTTATTAAGTTGTTTCAACCTTTGTTTTATGATTTTATTTTAGTTAGTATTGTTTTTAGACATTTATCTTTTTAATATATTTTATAATTAATATTTAATAGAATCTTCCCATCCTCAATTCGATTCAAGATTGCGATCTTGACAACCTTGATAATCTATATGAACATTTGTGCTTTTAAATTGTGAAGTTTATTAGTTGACTTGTAAAAGAAAAATATTTTAAAAATTATAATAACTCATACTGCACTGTGCAATGTTTAAGATTCTCATAGTCGAGCATAATGCCGAGCAAAACTCCTGAACCGAACTAAACCTAGCAATTCTTTTTAAATTAAATATTCGACGGGTATTTGAATCGAGAACCGACAGATTCGATTCAATTCTCGATTCTAGATCAAGAATCGAAGAACCAAATAAGAACATAATCTTCCTAATTGTTTTAATTTATTTATTTTAAATAAGTCAAGTTATTTTATTTTTTCTAAATAAATTTGATAACTAGTTAATTTAGCTCAAACTTAAAAATATGATTTTCCTATTTTTGATTTTCACTCTAAGCCCAACTTAATCAAATTGACATAAATTTTACCTAAATCTGTTATTCTACTGTAGTGTCATTTCTACCATTCTGAAAAAATCGAATTGAAAATCAACAACACATCTTTTAATTATTGTGAGCTCGTTAACTTCCTCTTCTTATGATTTTAACAATTAAAATTATGAAAAACTCAGCAAAAAGAGACGCATAAGATTTGACTACATTATTTTGTAAGAGTTAAAATTGAGCATGTCATTGGTAGAATTATAGAAGCTTTGCAAATATTAAAAAAATTAATTATAGTACAGGACCTGAAAACCGAACCAAACACAATGGAACCAAGCCCGAGTAGCTCCATAATTAAATTTGAACCCGACGATTTCACTTACTAAATACCTGAAAATTTTGAATTTGGTTCGATTCTCGTTAAAATGGAACCGAATGGGACTATATCCAGTCCTAATTGAGCATGCCAATCCTCACTCTGGGGGAGGCAGCCTTAACTATATGGCATACCTATATTAAATGAGCCATGATGTGAAAAGTGGGACGATTTAAGAATGAGAAGAAATCATAACTACCATATTCTAAGAATTTATTTTCAAAAATATGAAATTTGTAGAATAAGTTCAAAAATCAGATCATAAATCAATTCTTTATTTAAATATATGAATTTATATAAAGAATAATGTGACTTAAATAGAGATTTATCAAGGGATCGTTGAGGATATTTTCTCTCATCTTATCACTTTCTGGAACCAAAAAAAAAAAAAAAAAAGATGATTAATTATCTAACTTTCCAATCTTCTCACACATCATAAAATAGAAAACAAAATCTCGTGCATCCATGGCGTGAATTTTTCAAAAAAGATAAAGAATTTGGCCACAATTTTCCCAACGTGATTTCTTCAGGATAAAATTTCCATCTTGTTCCAACAGTTCTTCACCGTTTTTCCTTTTATTGGTGAAACGAAGAAATGAATAAGCTTTATAAGCAATTATTTTGGTCATCGACATCAACCACTATTTTTAGGTCATCTGAAAAACTGAATTGCACTTAGATCTCCCCACAATTTGTAGCCTTTATTTTTAATACCTTATATGACTGTCACTATCGTATAAAATTTGTGACATTCTTTTGTCACGTATATCTCTAATGCATTTGTGCAAAAATTATGACTCGATTTGAAAGGAGAAAACTTCATTTAAGGCCTGTTTGGGAGGAATTTTGAGAATTGATTTTTTGACCGTTAGAATAAAAGTAGGGTCCACATGTGAGAGAAGAAGTCAAAAATTATGACTGGAATAGTGAAATAACGGTCAAAAAATCAATTTTTTGAGATAAAAAAATCCCTTCCAAACAGGCTGTTTAGAGAAGGAAAATATTAAATGTGGTTGCAAAATATCCATCAACTAACGAATGAATTCTCTCCCCTAATATTTTTTGATCTTGAGATCAGATAATGACGATAATTAGCCTTAAAATTCAAGATTAGTTTGATAATTTACATGCTTATAATACATATATTATTTGATAATACAGTTTTAAATATATTAAAATATTTATTTACAAAATTATAATTATTTAACATCTAATTTTTAAATAAAATTGTAATGACTTGATTAATGATAATGAAATCTTAAAACTACGATTTAACTAATTTCCTCTCTAAAGAATTCTTCCATATTTCTCATCTTCTTCAACCATAGGTATAAATAGAATGCATTAATTCCGTTTACCCAGTGCGAACTCGAAGGGTAGGCTGTGGGTTCACTCGTCATAAAAAAAAAAAAAAAAGGGATAGAATGTATTAATTCCATCGAATGTGGCCCGTCACACTTTTATGACTACTTAAATTATATGGATAGTGTATCAAATAAATAAATAATTTTCTAAAAAAATTCTATAAATACCTAACTTCATCCTCATTTAATTTATCTTTTGCTCTGCCACAAGTCAATTATTTGTTAATGAATATATAGCAATATTTTGTGGAGCTTATTAAATAAAATAAAATAAAAAAGCCATAGAAGAAGATCGTGTGCCTCCCTTTTGTATGTGATAGAGCTGTTAATCATGATTTCAAAATTAATGTACTTGTAACATAATTCTTAAAATAATGGCGTCTGATGACATTTGTAGGTTCTCTTTTAAAAGTCAAGATAATTACAATTTGTTTGGTGCCTTTAATCAATGCGTTGTGTTTGAAAAGTCAAAATAAACTATTCATAAAGAAAATGTGACACAGTAAATCTGGAAAACGGTAAGAAAATAGGACATTCCAAATAGAGAAAATTACGTCCTTGTCCCCCAACTTATTATTCCAATTCCAAATTGGTCCTAAGCTTTAATTATAGTTAGACAATCATTCTTCAATGACTTAAAAGTGATTCAAATTTTCATTAAATCATAACATAACAATCGTGAAAAAGCGTCTTGCAATGAATTTTAAAGGACTTAACTTCAAAATGGTGGGCATGCATGTTGATTTTTGCCATTATCTAGCAATCAACTGTACGACAAATCAAAAATCGAAATTTGCAATTTTTCCTTCTAGGCATTCCATTTGATTTTTGGATATACATTCGAAACTCATGAACGCATCATCAAAGCACAATTAAGTTTACATTATTATTAAAGTTTCATAATTTTATACCTGCCCCAAATGATTTTTAGAGGCTAGGAAGTTAAAATCTCTTTCTATAAGGTAAGAAGAACAATTATCAAATAATATGATTCATCCATAGTCAGGGCTCCACATAAAGATTTCAAACATTTGAAATATTTTTTACTGTAAATACAAGAATGGTGATTAACAATTAATGACAGCACGATGCTTAGCTGCCTTAGACTTTAATGAATGATTTTAATGCACGATACTGTCATTAATTGTTAATTATTAATGTAAAATAAGATCGGTGATAATATTTTTCATTGAAAAATGCTATAGATACATCAATTTTCACAATTTTTTTCACAGTACACACACTTGCAAGTGGGTGGGAGTCCATAATTTTAATCGTGGACCCACCTTTGTGAGATAGCTGTGAAAAAAACTGTCAAACAAATGCTGTACAAACAGCAATTTTCTTTTTTATTAAATCCATGTAATATTAAGGTCAGTTTGGCATAATAAGTCAAAAGCTATTTTTGAAATTAAGAAATTGCTTTTAAATATGTTTTGATGATTTTTTGAAAGTACTTTTAGAGAAGCTAACAAAAGGTAGCTTTCTTTGAAAACTATTTTATCAAAAGTAGAAGCAAAAGTAGAAACAAAAGTACAAGTTCGAGAATCAAATGAACCCTTAAGCCAATTGTCAATGAAAACATTTCTAGCTAGTTAACTCATTTTTAGAAAATTATTCAATCATGTTCAAGCAATTTATTCAACTCATAAATAACTTCGAATTTTGTAAAAGCCCTGCCAAACGGATTGTAAGAAAACTTAGAAAACTCTTATACAATAGAGTAATATTATTCGTAATCACTCATCACAATAATCGCCCTATGTGATATATACATGGCAGGTGATTCTTTGATGCATTAATGTGGTAGTATTTTATTGAATCGTGCATCAAATAACATATCTCCTGTAATAAGTGAGTGCTAATAGCATTATTCTATACAGTAAGTATAAGCAAAAACAGAAACTTCGACAAACGGGCAACATATCAAACGTGCAAGAAAAAATTAACTTGAAACAAATCAAGATTCAATTAACCATGCTCAAAGAAAATTGAACCACAAAATATCAATCCCACAAAACTTTTCATTTCCAAATATCATTTATTTCTTCCATCAACTTAATGAAAGCACTGGACTCCGACCATCGATAGTGTTTCCATCTCCATACATCACTACTCCTTAATTAAATGAAAACACAAAATTTGCTGCTTCTTCATCATATGATCCTCATATTTAAATAGATGTAGGTATAGAGAGTGAGAGAGAGAGAATAGAGAGAGATATAAAAGTTTTAAAAAATACTGCGTTTTCCGGGATGATCAGCAACCTTGAGAGTCTTGTCAATGAGCTGTCGAGCTTTTTTGCTGCGGATTTCAACCTTAACACTGGCACTCTTGTCCATTTTTACATAAGGCTTCTTCGATTTCTTTAAGGATCTTACCTTTGACTTTATAGACTGCACCAAATTCTCCAACTGAATAGCCATGTTTCACCTCAAAACCCACAAAAAACTGGGTTCTTGAATCTGAGGAGAATATCTATGTAAAGTGATTGTTTTTCTTTGGTTTCAAGTATAAGTACTATGAAACTTTTGTGGGGTTTTCAATTCAAAATTAAGGGGGTTGGGTAGGTCGGTTGCGTGGGGCTGCTGAAATCTGATGTGTGCAGCTGTTGAGATTAATGATTTGATGATTTCAAGGAAGAGAGAATTCACACAATTAATGGGCAGTTTCGTGTTCAGATTGACTGATGGAAAATGGCTAACGAGGTTTAGTATTTGATGAATTTTCTAATGTATCCGCTGGCTGCTATTTTTCATTTTTAAATTTCAGTGATTGTTTGAATAAAATTTACTCCAATTATTATTCTCTATTTATTTTCAATATAATTTTGCATGAAATATAATATTGGATAAAAGAACTAATTTCTTTCTATTTAAAATTTTGTGAATAATAAATAATAAATTTTTCGTTAATATGACTTCTGTTAAATTTTAAATATTCAAAATAGTGACGTGTACTTGAATATAAGCCAGTTTATATAGAGAGTCAAATAAGAAACTATATTTTTAAAATTATTTTTCTTGAGTAGAATAGATTTATTTCTTTTTTTTTATTATTTCTCCATTTTCTCCCAGGAGGCTCAAATTCAAATCAATGACTTTTATTCTTATCTTGACCTCAACTTAGAAAAATATTATTTGTTGGATAAATGAAAGAGAAAACTAAGCCTAATTAATTAATTGAGTGTACAAATATTTAAGGCCATATGAAGAAACTTAGTTAAAATAAATCATAATTTTATTAGACAATGAATCAGGGATTCACTCTCATCAAATATGAGTGATAAACCTACTAGTGATGAATAACGTTATTCATTTGAAAGAGGGTATAACGTTTTATTATTGACCTTCTTTTTGGAGTATATTTTGTATATTTAAGCGAACAACATTGCAAGTAAACACTACGCAGTACGAAGGGTGTAATCAGTATCGACAACTTCGTTAAGCAATGCTCAGATGATAAGATTTTAAGCTACTTATTAGTTAAATTTCTGGAAATTTTCATAAATATATATTTACGTTATAATAAACAATATCTCACATAATAAAGTCAAATTAAAGACCTTGAAATCACTATCGAAATACAATTTTAATTTCCAGACTTATAATTTTTAAGGCAGCATAAATAAATTGATAATGAGAAGTCAAATTTGACAGCCACAAATATTCAACTTTGTGCTCATCTCAACAGTGTCACAAGTGCAGTGCCGGTCAACAATAAAACACATAACAAACAAATTAACTTCACACCAATCCATCATTCTATGCAGAAAATATAATTATGTATGCACATATTTATAAATAATAATAGAGAAAATTTAAAAAGACATTTATCGAGGTAACTAATTATTACATATGCGTTTTCTTGAATTTTAAAAATTCTTTTTTGAAATTTATTTTGCATGACATTTTTCCTAAATAGATTTTCATTTATTCATGAGATGGAAGAGTACGTTGAATGAATTCCTCGTTAAGATAATAGACTTTTACAGAGAATTTTATTATTTAAAATGAGCGTGGAGATTTCAAAAACAATAATAAGTCATTGTTCGGTTAGGATTAAAATTAATTTTTTAATAGATTTTGATAAAATTTAATAAAATGTGTTTAAAAAATTATGAGTCTCATGAAATATGTGGTTGAAATCAATTATTAATTTTGACTTAAATTAAAATTTTAATCATCATCAAATAGGGACTAAGTATTTAAATCGTCATTAATTATATCAAAATGTCATTTTCTATGTTTAGCTAGTTGTGAAAAAGATGAGACCATTAGATAATCACCTTATCATTATTTCTTACTTCTTAGTATGAACCGAATCTGAAAAACTGGCAAAGTCAAATCAATTCCGCTATGCGTGCACACTTGACCACGGCATCGTATCAAAGTTTGAAAAGTATATATACGTAATCATTTTCATGAGAATGAAAAATATAGTTGTTATGGGATCCCAAAAAAAAATAGAAAGTCAAATATAGTGATTTGATGTGATGAATAACGATTATATTTTTCATTTTGTAGCCAAAGAATAGAAATCAAACAGGAACATAAATTTCCTTATAAGTAAAAGTATAAATTTTCGAAATAATAATTTTATATTGTTGAAAGTTCAAATAAAGTAATTTTTTATTTAAAAATAAGCTATTCAAATACGTTGGAGGATAACATGCTACTTAAAAGCAAATTTACTTCTTGTCTAAGTTTAGCCAAAGATTATCATAGTTTCTTTAGTAAAATGGATTACATGATACTGGGGTATGACGACTAATTTTAATTTTAATTTATTTTTTTTTATCTTTTTATGTTCAATATTTTATATGCAATTTCTGTGGGACAAATTTATGTTCAATAAGAATTGTACCAAATGGACAAGAAAAGTAGTGTTCAAAGGATAACACTCTTAATTGGTTGGAGAAATGAGGGTTCAATAAGTTAAAACAAAGTCAACTGGAAATAATCATTTGATACTAAGTCCAAAGATTACTACAAAATGGCCAAATTACATGCTAGTTATGGTTAAATAAAAGGTTAAGAATACTTTCACCTCTAGCTTAAATTAATCGACAATTTCAATGCTTATTTGGTAGAGATTTTGATAATTAATTTTTTTTTACCGTTAAAAATAAAGTGAGTCCTACCTGTGAAAGAAAAATTCAAAAATGACAATTGGAATAATGAAATAACGATAAAAAAATTAATTTTAATTGACTTAAAATCTGTACCAAACATGCACTCAAATGTATACAAAGTTTTTATTTTGTTTTTCAATCTCACTATTGGTGACATGCAGTTTATTGGTGTCTTAAATTTAACTAAATTAAAAAGGAATATTGATTTTAGATAGATAGGCAGAGAGAAATTTTGTCCAATCGGAATCTTAATATCCTTCTTGTTGAAAGTGTTATGGTTGTTTTAGATCTTCTAGTAGATCATCAATGAACATAACGGAGTTATCGAGAAGATTTGTGTAGTTGATCTTAGATTTGAGGGGGAAAAAAAAAGAAAGTGTTAGTATTTTAAGTTATCTTTCTTATTGAAATAAACATTTACATTTCAGTTACCATAAATGTTTTAAAAATCGTTTTAAGCATTCATTAGAAAAGAATTAAAGGTCTAAACTTGGAAGGGTCGAACTAGAATGTATATATAGTTCTTTTCGTTCTTAGAAAGCGATCCAATTTTACCGATTCCCGTTAACGTAGTTTTCAAGTGAATTGGCATGTTTCAAAATATGATCAGACTTTATTTTTCAATTGTGCACATATAGTTTGATCAAATTTAAAAACCTATTTTCAATTGAACTGACCATTCAGTAGGGTTCATATAACATTAATTATCACTAGAAGCAAAATAGGGTGAGATAAGCACGTGAAATACATTCCGTCACAGTTTTCAATTTTCACCATAAACAATAAAAACAATAAATTGGTAAGGTTAAATTAAAAATTACAAGATAAACCGGGGATCTTAAGTCAATTAATAAATACATATATGGAGGACGGAAATTTTAAAAATTGCAGATTTGACCACAAAATTATTTTCGCCCTTGTTTGGCCTCCATTCAAATTGTGAGATGAAAGACCGGTCAACCTTCCCCAGTAAAGCCTACTATTTTTTTACTATAAAAGCAAAATTTGTCAATCTTTCAAAGTCAATGAGAGATCATTATACCTCTTGGCAAACTTCTGAAGGAAAAGTATGAAAATTTATAGAAAACAAATTGGTCTAAGGCCATATTCAAAGTTGTACCAAAATTTGAGTTAAATTTGACACAATTTTACATCAAATTTTGCATTAAACTAAACGGCGTCTTCTTTTATTCGAAACGCCCCATGACAGCCTACAATCGGAACTGAGGACGGGTTTTTGGGAAGAATATTCTTGGAAATTATGGCTACTGAGTATATAAGCAGTTATTTCTGTTAAAGAAACTGACAATCAGCAGTATACCATACAAGAAGAGGCGTGATTACTTGATTACATCATAACTTGATTAGAGGAAGACTTGATTACAACATAATTTTCCTCTGTCATTCCTTAATTCTTTCCCCTTAATCTTGATTCTTTCTTTGTACAATATGTAGACTTCACTGTAAAACTCCTATATAAGGATATGTACTTCTGGTCTTGGAATTTATGAAATCAACACCATTTTTATACAATTCTTTCATGGTATCAGAGCTCCTATAGCTCAAGCTAAAACTATTTCCTGTCTTGTTGTTATCAATGGCTTCCGCTTCTACCGTTCCTTTGGTCTTCTCTCAATCGAACTTTTCTCAATTGGTTTCGGTGAAGATGGATGGTACCAACTAACTTAACTGGGTCTCACAGCTGCAACCTGTTCTACATAGCAATGATTTACTCAGATTTGTGGATGGTTCTGAACCCTGTCCTGAGAAATTTCTTCATGATTCTGAATGAAAGCCTACTAAGGATATTAATCCTGAATATGTTATGTGGATCAAGAAAGATCAGTTTGTCCTAGGATAGCTGAATGCTACTCTAACAGATAAAGTTCTTCCTTCTGTTTTTGGTCTCACCACTGCCAAACAAGTGTGGGACTCTCTGGCCAAGCGTTATGCATCTCACTCGCTTGCCCATGTCGCGCCAATTACAGACACTGCAGCAAGGAAATAAGAAATGCACTGAATATTTAGCGACTGCAAAATCTCTTGCTGATCAACTTGCAGTTATTGGTAAGCCAGAAAGTGAGAATGATTTTCTCTCTTACGTGATGGGTGGATTAAATTCAGTTTTAATTCTTTTGTCACGGCCGTTTCGTTTGCCTTGCGATACAGTGCCATGAGTTTTGATGACTTCCAATCAGAATTACTTTCTTATGAGATAATGATTGAAAACCAAGCTCACTTATCCTCCATGGAGCAATCGACATTTGCTATGATTGCTGGTAAAAATTCACATGAAGGAGGGCAGTGGCGTAACAAATCAAATTATCCTCCTAAAAGCTCTCCAAGACAAAATTCATTCAAGCCAAAATTTTCAAAGCCTCGTCTGCAAGGAAGACCTTTAAAGGCACAAGAAGGACCATCAAATCTGATGCCCATTAGCAATGACAATTCTCATACTCGCACTCCATGTCAGATTTGTGGAAAAATAAGTCACCAAGACTTGGACTGCTATCATCGCATGGATTACAGTTATCAGGGACGCCATCCACCATCTCA